CATGCGGGCCCCCCCCCCCTTCGCCACAGCCCTGCCGGGCTCCGCCCCCTCTCGCTGCCCGAGCTCCCCGCACATCTGCTGTATTGTCTCTTTCTTTTCCTACCCTGCTGCCACGGGCTGGACCACAACATTTTGGCACCTGAAGCGGAAGCTCAAATGACATCGCCATGCCCCGGCCAGAACTTTGAAAATTCTCAAATCAGCCTTCTTCCAGTTCTGCTCCTCTCATGGCACTTCACCATCTCTGTGCCTCTAGAGCAGAGAGAATACATATGCACCAGCAGCAGACACAATTTTCTGGGTCCTAGTAGTGCTTCGCTTCCTTCCCCCCCAGTCTGGCAACTGAGGCAGCCACCTCAGTTCCCCCAGCCCTGCCCAGCCAGTTCTTTCATCCCCGAGGCAGTGCAAGGCAGGAAGGGGCTGTAAATCAGCCCATAAGGAGCTAAAGGGCCAGCTGCCTCTCCACATAGTCTCTGTTAATATAGGGCGCTAGGAGCGGGGGAAAGAGACACTCTGCTGCTGCTACCAGATTAAATACAAATACTAAAACGGTAGCATCAAAAATTAATGATCGCTTAAATGTCCCTGCTAGATGGAGCTACTGAGGGCATAGTTAGCTAATGGTGTTTCCGGGTGAGAGGAGCGCAGGGAGGCTACGTGTTCGAGCCAGAGCCAGGGAGAAGGGGAGAGAAGACAAATGGGGGAGAGGAAATCAGAATCTTAAATGTCTGTGTACAATGTGAAATGTGTGGGGAATAAGCAAGAAGAATTCATAATGCTAGTATATGCAACTATGATGTGTGTTTCCTAAGTTTCCTATCCTTGCAGGTAAGGCGGGCAGAGTGAGGGGACTGTTAATCTCCCCACAAGGAACTGAAGAGGCACTCCCCTTCCCACATACTGTTTAATTCAGTAAGGCTGTGTCCAGACTCGAGGGTTTTTTGAAAAAAGTAGCCTTTTTTTGAAAAAACTTCTCCGGCGTCTAGACTACAGCCGCGTTCTTTCGAAATTAAACGCGGCTTTTCTTTCGATGGCAGAAAACCTAATTTCACGAGGAAGAACACCTTTTTTCGAAAGTGCTCGAAGAAAGGCGTTCTTGAATGCAAACAGGGCTTTTTCAAAAGAGAGCGGCCAGACTGCCTGGGTCCTCTCTTTCAAAAAAGCGGCTTGCTTTTCGAAAGAGGCTTGCAGTCTAGACGTAGCCTAACTGAGCAGGATGAGCTTATCCCTTAGCCCAGGGGTTCCCAAACTTTTTGACATGGGGACCAGTAAATCCATTCACGAGCTTTTGGAGAACCAGGAACATATATTTGCATATTCATTAAGCAAATGATGAATATTCAAATAAGTTGTTTCTGGTCCTCCGAAAGCCCCCAGTGCCAGCATTAGCCCGCTTCCTCCCCCTCCCCCCCGCTTCTCCTCCCGATCTCCCCAGTTCAGCCCTTCTGCCCCCATCCAGCCCTGCTTCCGGTGGCCGGTTCCCCCTGCTCCCCACCAATCTCCCCCGGTCGGCCCCACTCCCCCGACGACCCTCCTCGACCAGCCCTGTTGCCCCCATTCAGCCTTGCTTCCAGCAGCTGGTTCTCCCTTCTTCCTCCTCCTTATCTCCCCCGCCCAGCCCTGGTTCTGCCACCTGCCCTCCCCGATCTCCGCAGGACAGCCCCGCTACCCCCAATCCTGCTTCTGCCAGCCGCATGCCCGGATCTCCGCAGGACAGCCCGGCTGTCCCCAACCCTGCTTCCCAGCGGCCGGTTCCTGCCCCGCCACCTCCTCCCAGCCTGCTCCGCTCTGCTCCCCTCCAGGCAGCCACTAGGCACGCTGAGGCCCAGTATTTTTTTTCCCGTGGCCCAGTAGCGGGCCGCGGCCCATAGTTTGGGAAATGCTGCCTTAGCCAAATTATTACAAGCGGCACCCCGGCCAGCTGCTGGGGAGCTGACTGCTGCCCTGTGCTGCTGCCTCTGTATCAGAGGTAGCAGTATGGGGCAGCAGTCAGTTCCCTGGGAGCAGGGTGGTGGACAGGAGCATGTAACCACTGACATTTTTAGCAGTTACATGGTTAGCCAATTACATTTTAACATCCCTAACTATGACATCGTTGGCATCTCAGAGACGTGGGATAATACGCATGTCTGGAATATTGGTATGTACAG